AAAACTCAGTCCTGCCATGAGTTCAGGGGTCTGGACTAGATGATCTCTCAAGGTCTCTTCCAGTCCTACGATTCTATGGTTCTATATTGCAGAGTCAAGAACCCACCCTGACTTCCCCTGAGGTGTACAGGAATATGGAAGTCGCTGGAGATGTTTGAGGTGGAGATCAGGGGAGAGAATGATCAGAGGGAATAGTGTGGAGAAGGGAGGCTTGGAGAACAAGAACACCTTGGTATGTGTCTTGGACCCTGGCATCCCCGGGACTCTGATGAGGCAGAGGAAGCCATGCTGGAAAAGGGATGATTGGGTACCGGTAGAGAATGGGGACTTGTTTTCCCCCACAACTCATCTCATCCTGGTGCACCAGGGAGATGGGGTGGGGGACTCTAGTTCTCCATCAACTAAAGAGATGGGACAGTTGAGTGAGCTAACTAGGCAGTGGGTTGTAGGGTCCGTCCTTACCTAATAATTCCAGCACATCCAGTATTTCTAGGTTAGGAAGCCTGTCAAGTATGGGGATTAGGTCCTGCTTTGAGCAGGGGGTTGGACTAGATGACCGCCTGAGGTCCCTTCCAACCCTGATATTCTATGATTCTATGGTATTTGTTCTGCTGGACCAGGCACAGCTCTTCAGCTCAGAGGTGTCTCTGTCAAAGCCATGGAGCATTGACAGAAGTATGAGAGCCGCCTGCTTTGGAGATCTCAATTCCTCCCCTTTGGGAACCCTGTTAACCTCTCCCTCCCCTCCCCCCGGCCTGCTCGAATGTGCCTGGGTTTATAGCATAGAGAGATATGCACACACTGGTGTTCATTCTCTCTTACTTCAAGATGAGGGAGGGAAGCAAGAACCAGGCCAGACAGGACTTCTCTCCCCATTTTCAGATTCCTGTTGAAAGGAGAAAGAGGCTAAGTGAAGTTTCTCAATCAGATGTATGCTCCAGTGGGAATAAAATAATCTGTGAAAGCACTTTCCATTTGATTTCCTTCTTCTGAAGGAGAGGTGTCAGACTGAGGGAGACCTTCCTATGCTGTTTCTCCTCATGATAGAAATCATACTTCTCTTCAGTGTTACACACTGATACTCTTCAGTGTGTAACCCACGTTTATACAGTGTTGCTCTGGCCCCCTTCTAGGGGCTAGTCCGTATACAGCAGGGGTTCTTAAACTGGGGATCAGGATGCCTCAGGGTTGTGAGGTTATTACATGGGGGGTCGCGAGCTGTCAACCTCCACCCCAATCCTGCTCTGCCTCCAGCATTTATAATGGTGTTAAATATATTAAAAAGTGTTTTTAATTTATGGGGGGGGGTCACACTCAGAGGCTTGCTATGTGAAAGGTCACCAGTACAAAAGTTTGTGAACCACTGATCTACACTGTACTTCGCAGGCCCGAGTCAAACCAGCCTATCCCAGGCTTCCTAGCGCCCTCCCCAGCTGTAGCCACTCTAGCCCTTTGTTTGTGGTGCACTGTGGGAAAACTTGACTGCCCTTCCCATGATAGTTTACAGGAAGTTGTTGCAGCCTCTAATACATCCTGTGGGGCCATGTTTTGGGTCTGCATGCCCCTGGCAACTGGAGCCAGCAACAAGGAGGAATCACCATCTATCCTGCTTGGGCTGGAGTCTGAGCCCAGACTTACATTCCAGTGTAGACGTACCCAAAGGGATCAGGTGTGAACAAACGGGGGCTTAAGCTGCACACAGATAGAGACAATGGATTCCAGCAAACCATGGAAAGTTGGAGCAATTCCGTCAATGCAGACTCTGACTTAAACTTGGCTTTTTCCATGCAGACTTAAGGACTTTCAAAGGGTTGATTTCAGTTGACTAATAAATGCTGGTTTATTTTGAAAAGGCTGCCATGCATTGCTCCCTGCAGGGGTAAAGTCTCTAACAGGAGTCTGAATTCATTTGGACTTACTAGAAAGTGCACTATGACAAACAAGGGTGTTGTGACCCAAAGGGCCCAGTCTTGGAGTCATGAGACTGCATCATCCTTGTAAAAGCTAAACTGAATGTCTGGCAATAATAGGAGTACACCCAAAGGGACTGTCTAAAGGCTGGGGCATCAAACCCCCTGTAGATCCATGATAGCTGGTGACAGACTGTCAGGTACTGGATACAACAGTAGTATTTCACAACAAGTGACTGCAACAGCTAAAACAGGGTTAGTCAAAGAAACAGTACGGAAAATGGTGTTTAATCAGCTCCATAAGGAAGGTTATACAGCCGGTTTGGTGAGAAAAGGTTAAGTGTTGGAAAAGCTAACCAAGGCACAGCTGATGGAACTGCTCGAGAAGGATAATTAGGCCAAGAACCATGGTCCAGTTCCAGACAAAATTCCAAGTAAGCAGTCCAACTCGTCAGCATCAGTCAGAAGGGACAGAGGCCCAGCTATCTCAGAGGGGAGAGGAGAGTCCAAGGAGGACAGCTGCAGTGTTATACTGCGTCAATGTGGCTTCAAGCTCCCAGAGTGGGCCACATACAGTACTGTGTGTATAAGTCAGTGGTGGGCAACCTGCAGCCCGTCAGGGTAATCCACTAGTGGGCCGTGAGAGAGTTTGTTTACATTGATCATCCACAGGCACGGCCCCCCGCAGCCACGATTTGCCGTTCCCGGCCAATGGGAGCTGCAGGAATTGGTGCGGGGCGCAGGGATGTGCTGGCCGCCACTTCCCGCAGTTCCCATTGGCCAGCCACTGGAAGCTGCAGGCGGCCGTACCTGTGGACGGTCAATGTAAACGCTGTTTCTCAGCCCACCAGCGGATTACCCTGACGGGCCACGTGCAGCCCGTGGGCCACAGGTTGCCCACCACTGGTATAAGTCCTGGGACTTTAATAATGCATGAGTTGTTGAGGAGATGTTCAGGTTCTATAGCAGGCAGCTGCAACATTCCCATGTCATCTATCAGTAGGCACTAGCCTTCCCCAGTAAGAAGGATAACATTCTGAAAAGGGGTGACCGGGGGAAGGGAAAAAACATTAAAGCATGTTGGAGGGAGGGAGGGAGGGAGGGAGAGGGGTGTGTGTATGCATCTGTATGTATAATACAAAAAGCTACAAAATGTCAAAATATTTCGTAGCTAACCGCAATAGTTGAGTCATTTTGAAGAACAGAGATATATAGTGAGGTGAAAATATTTACCAACATCAGGTTCTATAAATAAATGAGTAAAATGTTGTAGAAAAAGGAAATAAAGCTGGGGTGGGTGTATATATTGCCAGTTGAACTAAGTTTTTCTAAAAAGCCATTTTGTTTCATAGAATCATAGAAGATTAGGGTTGGAAGAGACCTCAGGTAGTCATCTAGTTCAACCTCGTGCTCAAAGCAGGACCAATCCCAACTAAATCATCCCAGACAGGGCTTTGTCAAGCGGGCTTTAAAAACCTCTAAGGATGGAGATTCCACCACCTCCCTAGGTAACCCATTCCAGTGCTTCACCACCCTCCTAGTGAAATAGTTTTTCGTAATTTCCAACCTAGACCTCCCCCACTGCAACTTGAGACCATTGCTCCTTGTTCTGTCATCTGCCACCACTGAGAACAGCCGAGCTCCGTCCTCTTTGGAACCCCCCTTCAGGTAGTTGAAGGCTGCTATAAAATCCCTCCTCACTCTTCTCTTCTGCAGACTAAATAAGCCCAGTTACCTCAGCCTCTCCTCGTAAGTCATGTGCCCCAGACCCCTAATCATTTTTGTTGCCCTCCGTTGGACTCTCTCCAATTCCTTTTGTTTTCCATGATCATTTTCTGTGCAGCTCTCATACAGTGTTTATATTTTCTTTGTGTTAACTGCTTTGAATTAATTGTTAACCCCTTTGATGATCATAGAACACTACAGGCAATTTGATAATAAAATACTGCTGAAAATAAAGTTTTGAGCTGAGTGTTAAAGAGCTAAATGGTTAATTAAACAAAAATCTAGTGATTCAACAGTGCAGTGCACAATCTACATTTAATACCCCCAAGAAAAACAATAATACATTTTTTTATATATCTGCATAAGCAAGTGGCATTCCCACCCTGCTTAAATAACAGCAAATGTCAGTTCCTGATGGAGCTTCTCCAGAACTGGGTTGTTTCTAGGATTTTACTCTCCATCTAGTAGTTCCCTCTGTCTCAGTGACACTCTCAAACTGTCTTATAGCCTGGGCAGGAAATAATAGAACCCACTTGGTCTGGCTGCCAATATAAGTCAGCAGAAAAACTCTGCATCTTTATGCAAGGTACCACAGTTTGACACCAGTGGTGAGTCAGCAGAAAAGTGCTGAATTTCTATGCATGGTCTTAGAACCTGGCACAGTATGCATCTAAAAGACACTACACATCATGCTAATGCTGGCAAGAACTCTGGTCCTCTTAAGAATGTTATCTGAGTTATGACAATTTATATGCGCCAAAGATCCTTTAAAAATAAGCCATTTTGCTTTTAAAGGATCATTTTCAAAGCAGTTTAAAGGGAATGTTTGTTCGATACTGAGGCTTACAATGGTGTATTTTTACCATCTGTATATAATCTGAATTCTTCATAATTTAAATGGGAATTTGTATATGATTATGACATTTTTTCATAAGAGTAGGAGAATTTACATCAATGACCTGGCCAAATTCTCACTCAGGTAATTACAAACTGCCCACACAAATCACCCTATCATTTTAACAGTGTGGTTTCAATTAGATATAGTTTTCTTCACTTCCTGTCTTAAACTGTTAAACAATATGGAGGTGTACTGTTAAGCACCTGTGATTACTGTATGCAGTGTTGTTGTAGCCGTGTTGATCCCAGGATGTTAGAGAGTCAAGGTGGGTGAAGTAATATCTGTTATTGGACCAACTTCTATTGGTGAGAGAGACAAGCTTTCGAGCTTACATAGAGCTCTTCTGTGATTATTGTAATTTCATCTAAACAATTTCAGCCATCTTTGTTATAATGCTTCCATTCAGCTATTCTTGGCAAGGTGGGGGTGGGGCAGAATGGAGGCCGAAATAAAATTTGAATACTAACCTCTGTTTAAAGGCCTTTTCACCCATCTCCCTTGCAGCTCTCTTCACCTCCTCAGGAACAGCATCTTTCTCAGCCTGAGATATCTGGTAAACTTTATGGCCAGCATCCAGTCTATAGGGCCCACCTTTGCCGCCCAGCCCTGCTGTGTCTCTCCCACCTAGAACAGATGATATGAAAATCAAGAATGTGTCATAACTATCACATAAATCCTCCTCTTTTAAAACCTCCACTATCACCCCAATGCATGTAAATTTTTTTAAAAAGTTTCCATGAGTCCCATAGAAAATACTTTATTTGCATCTGCAAATAACTGTCTACTTTCAAAAGTGAAGTAATACCATGGTAAAGCAGAATTCTGACTCCAGTTTTATACTGTTTTGCGATCAAAATAAGGCCCTTTATTCTTCAAAGGTGAAATTCACCCCTGTGCAGAGAGCTTACACTCCACTTAACTCCTACTTTAAGTTCTCAAAGCTATTAGCCCTTAAAACTATTAACTCTGGTTACTGTAAACTAACAATGTAACTCCAGAATTTGTTGATAGTATGCCTATGGTTTTCACTACTGTGTATAGTGTGACTGCTGTCATATCATTCAGAATTTAGAATTAGGAGACACTGAACTCTTTGTATGGATGGAATCAGATATTAACAACCTTAACCAAGTGTAAGAAATAAAGATTTCTAATATCTACTTGCCTGGTCCTGGGTATCTATGTTTATATGACTCTGATGAACTTTTTGGCTTCCACAAAATGCATTCAGTGTGGATTAAAAACTGCCAGCAGGAAAATAATTTAATGATAAAAGACACTTGAAATTTAGAACCGTCACCAAAGTTATCTGAAACATCCTTCAAAGACTCATGCAAATCATGAGAAGACATTGAATGCCAACCTGTTCCACCAGCCCAGGTGTTTCCGCCAACATGGGGCATGTTGTCTGGATCTGTCTTTCCATGCTTAGGGGAGCTCACTTCCAAACCACTGTCTCTCTCAATGGTTATCTGTGAAAATAAAAAGAAAGTAAGTTGAAAATATCTCTTATTATTATACCCAGCATGAATTCTATGACCATCCTGATGGCATGATGATAATACATTGTGTCCTACCTAGGAGCCATAGGCCATTAGTGAACTCAAGAGATGTATTATTTCATAGGCCAATAAATACAAAACATGTAAAAAAAAATAGCCGGGAGGAGAAAGGTCAGAGCTGCACAGGCTCTTAGAATACTGCAAACCAACCAAACCACAGAGCACTCTTGGGACTTGTACACACTAGGAAAAAAGGTGTTTATTTAAAATGTGATAACTAACACTTTTAAAATCCGAACACAGACAGGGTAAGAAATAGTTTTAACACGTGTTGGTTGGCTGAGGTGAAGCTGAAGGGTCACCTCAACCAGGTAATATGTTAAAACTACAACTCAGTGACCTGTTTCAAGATGCCAGCTTCAAAGACCTGAAGGCTGACCTCCTCTCTTCACTCACAAATAGGCAAATTTCTTGCATCTCTCTACCAACATGCTTGAACCCTGTTCTTAAATAAAAGATTAGTTCAAGTTACACGCTCCTTTAATCCTAGGCCTCCCTGTCAAGACTGCCAACAAAGGTGATGTTTGTAATGGTGGTTTTCTGATATGCACACCTGTCAACGGGGGGCTGGACTTTGTCCACCAGCTCAATGGACATACAAAACACCGAACAGCTGTCCGATAGTAATGACAGCGTCAAATTAGTGACATTTAGGTAAAAGAATGACTCTCCATTACCGCTGTCATCTAGTGACTCAATTCCTAATGTATACATTTTCTTTATAGTAATAATTCTGTATAAATTAATGCTATTTACTGTTACTTGAAATATAATGACACAGAACTGTCAGTAATAACATTGATCAAGCTTCTATGAATGAACTCCTCCCACCCATATACATACTTTCCATTTATTTTACTGTAAAATTGATGCATTCTGAGAGTACACAATTTTACAGTCCATTAAGGAACAAGTTCTCTGGCATTAGCAGGGTTCCCTTCAGAGCTGCAGAATAATTTAATCCCTGAATTCACTGTGTGCTGCAGGCTCAACACAACACTGAGAGGAATTCTACACATTCCTATGATCTGAAAACATGTTATAAAAACAGTGTATTGGCAACCGTTCAAAAAATATTTTTTTTCATCCTTACATTATTTGTGTTGATTCATAAAGGTACAATACACCCTCTGTGAAACATGTCATCAATGTGAAATAAAGGTAAATAAAGATCTAATCTGATAAATATCATTAATTTAACATTTGCATACTAAAAACAGACTTTCAAAAGCACACCACAGTGTTTTGTCCTTATTTCAATGGGCTGTATAATTTTTTTTTAAGTGGGTGCCTTTAGGGATAAAGTAAACAGTACCTTTTAATGTAACTGCTTGACTAGCATTTTAAACATACCAAAGTCACTGGGTACACCAAAATTGCTGAGTTTATTTAAAAAAAAAAATGAATGTAGGCCTTACAAGATGTAATGAAAATATTTATTCTTTAAAAAGAAATTAAAAACATGGGAAATTCACTGCACTTTGGCCTTCATGGACCCTTTCTCTATTGAAAAATAAACAAAAATCCTACAAAGGGAAGCTTTATGGAGCTTATTTTGCTGTATTTAGTGACATTCAGCTGGTACTTTATTTTTCCATTGAGCAAAGTTCACAAAGTGGTGATTGTTTTGAAAGACAGCCATTTTTGACATATTACTATTGGAAAGTTATAGTTTGAGACAGAATTGTGTACTAGTTAGTGTTTGCAATTTTAAAATTAACATAAAATTATAAAGCCCTTTTTTGTCAGCATAAGCTGCATCTACCCACTTTTCAAGTGCAGACCTATCCTTACACTCGGTGGTAATTTAATTAATACATTAGCTTTTCCTAATAATTTAGCACCACTATTGCTCTTATTTTGATTAGCAATCTGTCTTATTGCTCTTAACCACAGCAAAATGTTCAATATTATCTTATTTTTTTGTTAAAAAATTAAAACAAACAAAACAAAAAAATAAGTGAGAGAAAGAAAGAGCGAGCGAGAGGTCGAGAATTAGTCTTAGTTTAGCAACTTGCCCTTACTAAGTTCTCTATATTTAATTAGCAGATGTGTTTGTTTGAATATTTGGAATACTCAAAGTGCTAGTATGGTATATAACAACAGAGATGTGTATTTCAGGTCACCAAACTGTTACAGTGGCCTGGACACGTGGATCAAAAGGAAGGACTGAATCAAAGATGAAAACACGACTATGGACTTGAGCAACTTGGAATATTAAGGTATGACAGACACAAGGAGGAAGGAGAAGGCTATGGGAGAATGTAACAGGGTGCTGGCCAGGAGGTCCTGAGCCAGGCCCCCGTTAGCCCAGCTCCAATTAAGAAGTATTAATTGCGGCTGGCTGAGTATGCCATGCCTAATTGCTGGAAGAGAAGCACCTGGGGCCTTATTAGTCAGGGGGCTATATAAAGCTGTCAGGAAGGAAGTAAGGGAGGAAGAGAAAGGGAAGGGAGGAGCCAAGGGCTGTGCATCCCTGCTGGCTGGAGAAGCAAGCTGTCCCCCAGGTGGCTGGTTTGGAGCACACTGTAAATAGAAGGTGGTGGGAGCTGACACTGAAAATAAAAAGGCACTGGTGATTGTACTCAGAAGAGGTCTCTGGCTGATTTGTTGCGAGGGCAAGCGAATGCCTCATTACAGGGAAGATGAAGAGCTCAGTTTTGGTCATGTTAAGGGTCAACTAATGGCTGGACATATCTGGCTTCAAGACTAAGCTTGATACGTTTATGGAGGGGATGGTATAATGAGATTGGTCTTTGACTATTAGCGGTAAATATGCCCAATGGCTTGTGATGGGATGTTAGATGGGGGTGGGATCTGAGTTACTACAGAGAATTCTTTCCTGGGTGTCTGGCTGGTGAGTCTTGCCCACATGCTCAGGGTTTAGCTGATTGCCATATTTGGGGTCGGGAAGGAATTTTCATCTAGGGCAGATTGGCAGAGGCCCTGGGTTTTGTTTGCCTTCCTCTGCAACGGGTCACTTGCTGGAAGATTCTTTGCACCTTGAAGTCTTTAAACCATGATTTGAGGACTTCAATGGCTCAGACACAGGTTTGATACAGGAGTGGGTGTGTGAGATTCTGTAGCTTGCGTTGTGCAGGAGGTCAGAGTAGATGATAATAATGGTTCCTTCTGACCTTAAAGTCTATGATTCTATGACATCCATAAAGGGAAGTCAGAAAGACAGGTTGAGAATTTTATTTGTCTGGAAGAAGACATATTACCTGGTTGAGGTGCAGAAGAAGAAGGGTCCAGAGTATATTTGTGAGTCATCAGCATAAAGATAAAAGTCAAAGCCATGATTGTGAATGACACCATCCAGAGAGGAAGAAAGGGGAAGTGAGCAATGACAAAGCTTTGAGAGACTTCCACAGTAAGTGGGAGAGAGGAAGAGGATCCCCCTGCCAATGAAACTCTGAAGAAGCAATCTTAGAGGTAAGGAGGAGAACCAGGAGAGAACAGAGTCAGGGAAGTCAAAATTTTGAGAATAGTCTATGACACCAAACGCAACTGATATTTCAAGGAGGAGGAGGGAGAGGTCCTGAAATATGGCAGATAGAGGTCCTCAGAGACTGGTGAGAGTCATTTCAATTGACTGTAGGAGTGGAAGCTAGATTGGAGGGGATCTTGAATGAAAGTAAAAGTGTATGTAAGACAAAGGTGGTAGACTGCACGCTCAATGAATTTGAAGCAGAGAAGGGAGATGGATCAAAGCTGGATTTTTTATGATGGGAGAGAGAAAATGTGTGGGTCCTTTGGTTAACTGGATCCTCCACTGTGTGAGAGTTCTAAGGAGAGTTAGGTGAAACGCAAGTGTGTGTGTGTGCGGGAGCTAAGAGCACCCCTCAACAAAATTCAGCCAAAGGGTGGGAGTCATCTTGAGGTAATGGACTATTAAAAGTTAGGCAGTCAACTGGGGGCTCAGGAGATGTATTTGGAGTCAGGAAAATTGAAAGATGCAAGAAGGGAAGGATCTAGTTAGGCACGTTAGAAATACATGGATAATTTGCCAGTTCAAGTGCTAACTATCCCTTCTGATTAGATTCCTTTTGAATTCATTGCATGCCTTTATCAAACTAGTTAAATAATTTGATTGTTTTAGTCAGGTTTTAACTATAGTGAAATTTCAATTTTTCTTGAAGTGAAACTTGTGCCATTTCATTATGTGCTTATAACTGTAGGAAAGTGAAAAGCTTTATTCATTACTGTTAAGATTTTGCATAGTATGCTGTGCATATCACAGTTAAGTGAAACAACAGATGAATTCAGTCAAGAAGTCTTTTGAGCTGTAGCTATGAGGTAAGGGTGACAGCAGAATAGCTGGAAAATATTTTGAAATTTTTCTTTTAAGATTTCCTTCTGTGAGGACTGGTTTCCACCACAACCACAAGCACTGCAGTGACCATGGCATGTCTTTCTTTTGTGTGTGTCTAGGTTTTTTTTTTTTTTTTTTTTTACATGTTAATGATTCATGCTCTAGAAATGGATTTATTTTTCCATTTTATCTGCCTCTCTTTGGCTAGGTCAGGGGTGGGCAACCTCTGGCACGTGGCTTGCCAGGGTAAGCACTCTGGCGGGCCGGGCCAGTTTGTTTACCTGCCGCATCGGCAGGTTCGGCCAATCGCGGCTCCCACTGGCCCCTTTTCGCCATCCCAGGCCAATGGGGGCTGCGGGAAGTGGTGCGGGCAAGGGATGTGCTGGCCGTGGCTTCCTGCCGCCCCCATTGGCCTGGGACAGTGAACTGTGGCCAGTGGGAGCCGCGATCGGCCGAACCTGCTGACGCGGCAGGTAAACAAACTGGCCCGACCTGCCAGGGTGTTTACCCTGGTGAGCCGCGTGCCAGAGATTGCTGACCCCTGGGCTAGGTACTTCTTCAGGGTTTCCTATCCAGAAAGAGCAGAATTGTCATC